ACGGTAAATTACCGGCTACCGCACATCCTTAACTACTACCCGTCTACGATGTTCAGAAGAAAATCTCCTATCATCTGTTAGACAGATAATAGATCGCTAATACGGAATTGTAGGTATACTCAAAAAGTAGCGACTCGCAAGTCTTTATATATACTAGACGGAACTAATCCAGTGGAAATCTTTGTATTGACATATTAAACAGATAATAGATGATAGGAGATTTTCTTCTGAACATCGTAGACGGGTAGTAGTTAAGGATGTGCGGTAGCCGGTAATTTACCGTCGGTAACGGTACGATGAATTTACCGAAAAACGAGATTACCGCGGTAACGGTACGATGAATTTACCGAAAAACAAGATTACCGCGGTAACGGTAAAAAAGTTTTTACGAAGGTCGGGTAAATACTTTTTACCGAATTTTTCTCCGATAAAGTCTTTTTTACCGAACTTCGAACTTATGTCTTTTCTTTATTTTCTTCTAATTCTGACCATGCAGTGATATAAATTCATGCATTCTGCGTTTAGGTCAGGGTGAGAGTGAGCGTTTAGTATATCTGGACGATTAATGCAGAATCGTGTTAATCTCAAAGCTAATAGGTTTAGCTATAGTATGTTCCTGAAAGACAAACTTTAATTAATTCTAATAGACGATATTTTAGAATAGAAAAAGACTATGTAGTGTCGAAATTTGAACTGTTGTTCATGACTCAGATTACTTTTATTCATTTGTCTGAAGAACATTTAGAAACACAAACATAAGCAAATAACATTTATTGAAACGAGACAACGGTAAAAAAAATTTACCGGGAAAATGAACGGTAATAGTTTTTTTACCGAGACAAAAGATCGGTAACGGTAAAGAGTTCTTACCGTACGAAATTTACCGTGGTAACGGTAAGATGAATTTACCGAAAAGCGAGATTACCGTGGTAACGGTAAAAAGTTTTTTACCATACTAAATTTACCGCGGTAGCGGTAAAATATACGTTTACCATTACCGCGGTAACGGTAAACGGATTTTCCGGTTACCGCACATCCCTAATTAAGACAAACATGTCCGTAGTCTAATGTGTATTACCAATACTACTTTTATACGTTAAATGTTTCTTATTAAACGTGCCTCTGCAAAGGAATGAGAATTATATATATCTCAAACATTAGAAAAATTTTATTAAAAGATTCAGAGTTGTTAGCTTCGAATACAACAAATTTACAACTGCCATGTTGAACCTTGCTGGGTAATATCGAACCCAAGTTTGACACATTGCTCTCTTTCTTTTCCATCCCTGTACAATGGATTCGTATGGTTCAAATGTATAAGAGTAACCTTATTTTCAAGTCCATTGAGTGTTTTGATTGTATCAACAGTTGTCGGATGTGGAACGTCATTTATGTTTCGACCAGGTAGTTCGTCACCACTAAAAAAGGTTGAATCCAAAAATGCTCGGTCAACCGAGTTGATCACGTCCGTTATATGTATTGACCATCCCTTGTGCCATGTGTCCACATCCGGACAATAAAAGATAGTTTTATTCGGACCTTTAACATAATATGCAACAGTATCACTATATTCACCACGATGCGGAACTAATAGAGGTTTGATCGAAACATTTTCAGACAATTTGATCATCCTGTCTGGTTCTATTGGTTGCATTTGAAAATTTCCTTGATTGATAAATGATGTCCACGGTTCATTTCTTCCAAAAAACTGGCATACTCTGTCAGTGCCATAAATCTATAAATGTACACTTAGAATTGAGCTGTTTGATTGAAAGTGAACTTACGCTAAGATTTTTTCTATTCATCACTTCTTTTCCAAATTGATACAACCCAATATAATGTCCCATATGCAAATGTGTTAAAAATATACCTTCTAATTTGAAAGCATTCCCAATATGGCCTTGTAATAAATTGAACTGTTCTCGGAAATCAGGTGAGCAATCAATAATCCAACACTGGTTGGTTTCTTTATCGAGCACAGCAAGGCTCACAGTATATTGACGCTCTGATCTTTGCTTTCGTACAGACTCACAATTTATACATGTACAACCTGTTTGGGGTACACCAGCGTCTTGTGCTGTTCCCAACAATACTATTTCTGCCATATTATTTGAATACGACCAAAATACTGAGTCAAAATTAGATCGAGAAAATACCACAATGATTGCTTCTTTAATACTAACGAACGTTCTCAAACTAAGCGAAAACTATAGAGAACAGTAGAAATCAACGCGCTTAATCCAATAATACCGATGAGTATCCGAATGACATCTATGAACAAGCAAATTTCCACTAGTAATAAGTATTAGAATCAATAAGGATACTCCTCATATTGAATAAGAACAGTGGTGGAATATTAAGCTAGAGTAATTGGTATATAGTAATGTATAATCGATACTAAATAAGTTAGTTCATAATTGATAAATAAAAATGTTCATTTCTCGAATTCTAGAAAATAGCTTGGTATAGAGTACAACTTGTGTACTTCATTCTACCATAAAAAATGAGGATGGCTACCTTCAAATTGATTAACTTTTTAATCTGGCAAGTTGCCACAACATGGGCTCATTTCATAGTGAGTG